TCTTCCATCTCATTTTACCTTTGCAAGCTCGTTTAAATGTGAGGCTCATTCGTCTAATTACCTCGTCCTTTCGCCTCCGTCGCTCAGATGAAACGACTGTTTTTCTCGGTGGTAGTGTGGCCCGTATTGTTTCTACCTTGTTACCACGGCAAAATGTAGTAGCGTTAGGCCGGTGTTTATATGATTGTGGACAGATGTGACAGCACAATAGCGTCACTGTGATGCAGGTTTTAGTTCAAACAGGGGCGCGAATGATACGCGTGACCGGGTGGCACTGGGCCCACACCTTTACGCTGTGGAAATCTCGATATGCTGCTTAACTGCTTACCCAGTCAGGGTAGCTGTCACAGGGCAAGAGGCGGGGCTAAACACTGGACAGGCCACCAGTCTCATCACAGACAGCCACTCGTGCTCGCATGCACACGCTCGCCAGATTAGACCAGTTCCCCGACACGCTACTCTTTAGCCTCTGGCAGGAAGTTGAAGTACGCGGACAGAGAACCTCCCTCTGCCACTCGCTCTGATTTTCTTTATCGTTTCTTCGCTACATCAGGTTGAGCTCGACAGCGTCGGGCTCGGACAGTCTGTTTGGACCGCCGCTGGAATCGGCCTTCAAGTCCAAAAGCTTCGACAGCCGGGACCAACTCAGAGAGCGGAGCGCGTTTGGAGCGTCTGAATGTAAGGTTACTTTCATTTAACTGCTGCTTGTGTTTTGCTTCTTACAGAGAGACGGGACTGTTGGACGCCCTGAACATAAAAGCTCTAAATTCTGTCTCGGCGCCGTTCCCACGACTAATGTGTTGATTGTGTGTGGCAGATGCTGCTTTCTCCTCCGACTCCTCGTCTCCGGAGAATGTTGAGGACTCTGGCCTCGACTCACCCTCCCATCAGCCCCTCGGACCCTCCCCCGAACCAGCAGGCTGGGCGGCCTGGCCTCCTGCATCGCAGAGTAAAGAGCAAACACGGGGTCGACCGTCGGACCCTTTCCTTTCCGCTTTCCGTGACCACTCCCCCGGACGCAGTCCTCACCCGCAGGATGACCCTACCGCCGTCTGGTCTGTCGCTCCGTCGCGCCCCTCGCGAGTTCCCCCTGATAAGGACCCCTCGTCGGTGCGGTTCCCCGCCTTCTCTCAGTCCCTCGCCCCACCAGAGATGGAGTCATCAGTGTGGAACTGCAAACACATCCCACCCGAGGATCCCTTCCTCGCCGCCTTTGAGAGGACCGTCACCCAGGAGACGTTAAACCTGTCGGACGCCTGGGCGCGCCCTCCGCCTCGCACTGCTCAGGAGGGCAGAGGAATGGATCTGCGAGGGGACCCCTTCTCCGTTACCTTAAACGACACCAAGACACTTCCAAGCACTTCCTCTTCCTCTTCATCCTCCTCGTGCAATCGGATAGAGAGGGAGAGGAAGCGGGATCGCAGCCTCCCGCCTCCCATTTCTTCCGATGACCCATTTGCAATCACAATGATCGGCAGCCCGACGCATCAGTCGTCGCTGGCGGCAGCTGTTGGGGGGATCCCTCCACGCGGCGGCAGCGGCGGCTCTGCCGGCGCCACCAGACTTGGATTCGATGCCAATTCGAACACTTTACCGTCAGCTCAGCCAAAGAAGGAGCTAACGCACTGGAACTCGCTCCACAACCCATTTAGTGAAGGCAACGGCTCCAAATCACAAGAAGCAAGCGGAAAAGGGGAAGGTGGCGGCGGAGAGAGGAGAAAACACCGATCATCGGAAGGTGAGCCGCGCAGGAACGCCCCTCCCCTCACGAGGCATTCGGGGCCCCAGGAGGATCTCTGCTTTTCAACAGACAAAGATCAAGACTGTCTGGATCTCAGCACACAGATGTCCTGCAGTGCCAGCTCTCGTAAGGGTACTGCTTTATTCTTTTAAGTTTCTACTGACTGTATTAAAAACATTTCCAGTTCTAATTATAAAAGTAAACGCCGAGAGTCGTGCTGTCCTCCAGCCTCAGTCTGTGGCTCCTTAATTAGTCACAAAGGTAGCAATCAGTTTCTTCTCAGAGTAGTCAGAGAAATGAAGCATGAATATGCACATATGCTGGATTTAGTAACACCTTCGTGTCACCTGTGCTGTTTTCTGGCTCACAGATTAAAGAGTCAGCTGTTTTCCACTTGGAAAGAAAAGTGCTTCACAGACTCTCGCTGTGATTGGCCCTTCTAGGTGGGCTAGCCCTTTTATTTCACGTTGAAGGTTATGCAGTCTGATTATTTAATAGCACGTTATGCCTTCCTGATTGGTCATTAGAGGCTGCAGGGTGGCTGCGTCTGATTAAAACACATTTAACCAAGTAGACAATACTACAAAGTTAACCAGCAGGTACTTTTGATCTAGGGCCTTTTTTGAAATACCATACCTATAAGGCGCACTTAAACTCCTTTAATTTTTTCAAAAATCAACAGCACGCCTTATGTGTGAATTCTGGTTGTGCTTACTGACCTCGACTGATTTTACGTGCTACACGGCGCTCAGACATCCGTCACAAATGTTTTAGTCCGACTTTGGTTGGATGGATCGTCGGAGTCAGGAGCCTGGTGGAGTCATCTGGGTCCTAAACTCCGTCTGTTTCAGGTAGTGATGTGCGATACCACTGATTTCCAAGTAAGATTCGGGGTGGAGTCGACGATACTGATCCGAGACCGATACTTTGCACAAAAACATTTTATTTATTATAAATTATAGCTTCATAATGATTACTGGACATCAGATTACTTGTTCTTATTGCTTAACAATGTAGAGTTCATCATATAGAAATTAAAAAAACTGAAGTCGTGGCTATTTGAACACCTTGCCTGCCTGCAGCACTAAAGGACTCCGTGAGAGACGTCTGTCTCGCCCTAGCAGCACCTGTCCCTGTCCTCCTCTTCAGTTCATCTTAACATACGCTCGTCATGTTCTGTGATATGATTTACTCTGAGGTGTTTGACGAGGTTTGCGATACATTTCTTGCCACATGTATCGCAAACCACGCCTCGGCTGTTTGTGGAGGTAAAATACGTCCACACATGACTCCATTTAAGCTCAGCCATTGTTGTGAGTGCGCACGCCAGAGGCTGCCACATTTATACAGCTGTTCAAGCGTACAGCTCTGTTATCACTTCCAACATAAATGAAGACAGAAAACTAAACAGCAGTGACGTTTGTAGGGTTACTGAAGCTGGACTAGCTGCTATATAATGATGTGCTACGTGATCGCTAGCGACACAGCTATGTTAGCATAGCATAAACACAGTGAAGCTGGAGGATGAACGCTAACTTTTTTCCACTTGATAAAAGTTAACATGAGGGTTCCTGATGGTTAGGGACAAATGCAATCGCATGGCAGGATGCTGTAAACGGACCAAACATCAGTCAGGAGAACAACTGAGATCACAATACGAGGTTAGTCATTAATATACTGCAACAACATGGGAACAGAGCAGCTGCAAGAGAATTCAACATTAATGAATCAATGTTACGGAAGAGGAGGAAGCAAGAAGAATGAGTTGAATAAATATCTGACTGTTTTGTTTTGATTAATGTGCATTATGTATGAAACATAGGGTTCCAGCCATGTGGTTTTATGTTTTTAAATTGCTGTTTTGTTGTTGCTTTGTGTGAACGTTTACCAAAGATATGCAAAGCTAGAACTTTTCAGCCTGACTTATATTTTTTGTCGGGATTGTAGTCGATTGCAATTTATTCAAATGTGAAAATAATTTTTCTCACATGAGCTACAAAACAAACAAAGCTCTCAGCATCCCAGAGAAAAACAAACACTTTTCCAGCTCGTCTTAACACAAACTCGTGTTCAGCAAGTCTTTGTTGAAGCAGTGCAAATAAGATTTTGGCAGCGTGGTGTTTTGAGCGTGTCTCATCCTTTAGATCCGCTTTCATCCACTTTGTGTGTGTTTCTTTTTTAAGGCTCCAAACATAACTTCAGACAGGACACAGCCGAAGGCGTCACGGCCGCTCCTGCGAGAGCGACCCGAGCCAAGAGGTCTTCGGGTCGACTCGGTGGCTGTGAGAGAGTGAGTATCGGTCACGGCTTAACCGTTCAATGTCAGAAGCAAGACCGTCATTAGCAGCACTAACTCAGACCCGGCTGTGCGTTTCAGTCGCGGTCCCTGTGTTCCTCTCCACTGCCAGAGCCCAGCCCTTCCCTCACCTCCTCCTCCTCTTCCAGTCCCAGTGAGTGGGGGGGTCAGAACCGAGCTCAGAGCCCTGCCGGGGTGGGACAGGCCTCGCCGCTGCCCTTCCAGCACCAGGACCACCAACAGAGACAGTGTAAGCCACACGGGCACGTCTAAAAATGTCAGTTAAAACCTCGCAGTGAGAGCGAGAGATGTGAGCAATGTTTCTCTACAGTGCATCTGTCCAGAGGCCCCAGTCCCATATCGCTCAGCACACAGGAGGCGTGGCCAGTAGCAGCAGCCATTACTGAATACATCAACGCCTACTTCAAAGGTGGACAGCACAATCGGTCAGCGTGGCGCTCTTTATTTCTTCATGTTGTCATCTAACTGCAGACGGTGCGCTTACTTTAATTAACTTGCCTCGTCTTCCGTCCTCAGCTGTCTGGTGAAGATCACAGGTGACCTCACGATGTCCTTCCCAGCAGGCATCACTCGTATTTTCACTGCCAATCCCAACGTTCCCGTGCTCAGCTTCAGACTGGTCAACATCTCAAAGATCGATCACTTTCTGCCCAATCAAAAGCTTCTCTACAGGTCAGCCATCTTTTTGTTGCTTTTTT